TTGCTTGCTCGAAGTGTTGCCCTTGCTGCTCGAGACATTGACGACTACCGGTATGCGATACGGTCGCTTTAGAGATAGATGCGTCAAGTCTTGAGCGAGCTGCGTGGCAGGAGAAAGAAGCGGAGATGGAGGTTTGTGAGTAAGAATAGGTGGTGCTGCTTGAATAGTAGTGCTTAACTCGTGTCATTGTTGTGCGTGTAGCAAAAATCTGATGAGGAACTTGATCGGCTTGAGAAGGCATTAAAACAAGCTCACGCTGACCTACAGGCTGCACAAACGCGACTTAGGATGGAGAACCGATGAAATTGGCACCCCCTCCCTTCGCAAAGGTGCAGCCACTTTCGCTTCGTCTGGTTCAACTGCATGTCCCTCGTCAACTGCAGTGAACCTGCGAGCCGGTTGGTCGCTGGGAGGAGTTCATATGCTTTCAATGAGAACAAGTCAATCTCGCAAAAAAGTCATTCAGGTCACAAGAATGTGTGGGGATGTACATCTGACCTATGCGACTGGGAAGTTTCTTTAACAAAAAAACGTCCTACAAAACGTGCTAACACTAAGCTCGCGTTTTGTCCGACAAATTCCTGGTTTGTCAGCTCAATGAATACTACTCACTCACCAAGCTGTGATTCGGTTGGCGAATGTTCGTCAGAGCTATTATCCCAGCTTTCAGGGTTTAAAAGCGCTTTGGTAAAAGGCCTGAGTACCGCTCGTGTGCGAGTTGCTGCGGCTGTCAAGATGGTCGACAATGTGAACGTGGATAACCGACCAGGATTGGTTTGCCGAGCAATTTCTCGAGCTAAACAATTGATGACACAAGAGGAAGGAAAGTATTACAAACTCCCTCCATTTCTACGGGCGTTTGAAAGGCTGAATCCAGGCTCTAGGGTCTGTTGTCAATTGGACAGTAAGGGTCGATTCTTTCGGGCGTTTCTAAGCATCGGATCTCTAGTTGCTACTCAGGATAACTGGATACCCGTTCTCGAATCAGATGGCACACACATGAAGAATGACCAGTACAACGGTGTGTGCATTCTACTGATCGCTAAGGATGGAGACTGGAGCAATATTCCGATCGCTATAGCCTTTGTCCATAAAGAAACAGCAGAGAATTTTGAGTGGTTTTTCTCGAACTGCATGGCTGCTGGAATCAAATTAGAAGATCGCCCTACCTTCACCGATAGAGGCAAACAACGCGAAGCTCAAGTCCGATTGAAAAGCCATGGGCTTGGGCTAAACTTGAAGTTTTGTGCGTTGCACATTTTCTTCAACGTCTGCGACCATTTTCGTACCGCCGATCCCAGTATTACCAACATCAAAGGGCTCTTGTTTCGCCTACAAGCCACCACAACGTTAAATGATTACAATGAGATCCTAGCAGAAATCCAAGCTCAATTTCCTGCTGAACGAATCAGATCCGTAAATGGGAAGTCTGAAACCCAGAGTGTGGCTCAGTATCTCCGTGATTCACCCTGTAACCTGGACACGGTTCGGCAATTGCCCGTTAAGTCCAGAAGAGGTTTCGGCTGTTGCGACGGAGGGGGGAAAACTTCCAACGTACGGGAGAGCATGTGCCCTATTTGATACTCGCACCACCAGCGCAGTTGAGGGGCAGAATAATGGTCTCTTGCTGGGGGGTGTCCGTGATTGCCAAGTCTTCGAAGCTTTCGTCTTGTTCTGTAATGTGGCACTGGAAGCACTAGTAAAAAAGAAGAAGAAAGCAGCAAAGTGGTTAGAAGAGAAGCACACAGTTACACCCCGGGCGAAGACAATGTTTGACAGGCAAGTGTGGGGGGGGCTGCTGCGTGCACTGTACGCAAGAGTTCAAGCTCAATCTTCCTAGTGGATGATCTGGTGACAAGTATGGAACAATTAGAAACCAATGCGGATGCAGCGCCGAGTTCTAGGCATTTACAAACGATTACCTTCACTGTGGACTTGAACCAAGGGACTTGCACGCGCTGTCCTGATCGACACCAACTGCTGCTTCCTTGTCGACACATAATTTCCTCGCTATACAGTCATAGCGGTGACCGCACATCCACTTTCGGAGCTTTCCGATTCTATCACCCTGCATACACTGTGGAAGCTTACGTCCAAGCTTTCATGGAAGCATCGATCCAATTTCCGTTCCTTCAAGCTCTTTTGCCGGAACCCAACATTCAGCCGCCTCCGCTGTACAACCAAGCTGGAGGGAGGGGAGGGAGGGTAAGAAGCCAGCAGCGCGATGTAGTATCTCGCGAGAAACGAATTCCATCCCGAGGAGAGTCAAACATATCATCATCGAGGCGAAAACAGAATAGCCCAAGGCCTCAACTCGTTGAAAGAGTTGCCACAGCAGCCAAAATACGCGAGCATTTCATCGGAGAAATTCGAGCCGAGGAAAAGAAAAAGCGAAATAAATACACGTGCGGTCGATGCGGCAAAGCGGAAGGGCACAACGCAGCTAAGTGCCCAAATGGACCCAAAGAGATACTCGACACCGATATCAAACCGGGAATTTACATCGTGGGCAGCTGTCCATTGGAGTTATTGCGTCAGCGTAGAGAGTTTGTAGATGTAGAAGTTGAAGAGCCGACTATCATCGGTCAGTGGATCGTATGATTTAATCGGTCGGGAGTCCAATAGCTGCGGAATTTCCCTACAAAAGCGTATGCACGACGAAGTTTTATTAGATGAAGCTAATCAGTACTTCTATTAGAATCGATACCTTTTTAATTAGTTTATCCGAATGGGGCTCCCAAGTATTTTGTGTTGCCCTCTCTCCGGGTTAGGAGGCACTGGGTCTTATTACCACACCGCTCACCCCCCACATGCGGATCAAACAAGGGAACACTCAAAGCCTAGGAGCCCCTACGAAAAAGGTAGTCGGTAGTTCCTGCTCCCTACACTTCCAAGGCAAGTCAGTAGTAGCAATGTATTTTTTGC